TATAAGACAAAATTCAAAATAATTTCTTATATTGCATTATAATTGTTAAATAAAAAAATTGCAAGTTTTACATTCTATTTTATATTTTATTATAATGTTACATTATAACTTCATTTGGAATTAAGTTAAATATTTCTTTCTTAATATATGATACTAGACAAACATTGAGTCAATCATCACTCATTTTACTGTGTAATCAATATTTAACAATTTTCTTTGCAGAAAATGCTCGCTTCACTAATCAATTGCAGCCATTTGGTTTTGGACGGCTTTCTTACTGCTTCTTGAAGCAACTTTCTAGAAAGAAAAAAAATAAATTTTTAACTAAAAAGCTGCTTCAAGAAGCAGTTAAAAAGTCGTCCCAAATGAAGCCTAAGACACTACCAGATTCATTGCAATGGTTTAATGACCACTGCTAATATGATGTATTTGTATTCTCTATAAGGACTTTCAACCGTTGTTTATAAACCGCTTCAATTATAAGACTTAGCAATGATTTTAACTGCCACATTACTATAATGTAGTAGCGGTTAAAACCGTTATTGTTTTGTAGCAAAGGAATATATATATATATATAATTCTAAAATATTCCTTATTATATTATTTATGCTATTTCAAAATTTTTTGTGTCGTTAAACTCTCATTTAATAATTTCTCAAAGGCACCACTCCTAACAGTTAAAAAATCAAGACGTGATGCAAGATCAATCATTAACTCAAGCCATGGAAAAATAATGGTGGAATAAATCAGCATGATAAGAATAGCGATCTTAGCATAGGATCATGACATTTCAACAAAAACTCCAACATTTAATTGAGTACATAATATCTCATTGCAGCTTGATTGCTTGAATTGTTTTTAAATATTCCATTCATACTTCTCCAAGCATACCATATTACCAGTCCATCACAATTTTCATCATACCCTATTTTCTAGTGTAACAAAGCAAGACATTCATTACCCTATCATGACATTTAGATTACTAGAGATGGCATGGAGAAGATTGCACTAGAACTTAAGAAAGACTTCATTGGTTTCCACTCTTCAAAGAAGAGTTCTTTGAGATCTAATGGAACTAATGTGGCATTAGGTACCAATACAAAAAGTGGTGGAACAACCATTTTAGCTCAAAGTAAGATAAAAGCTTCTAATAAGCAAGGTCCCATCAAGATGAAGTTAATTAAGATTCATATTTTATTTTATTATGATGTTCAATAATTTATTTATTGAAGTTGAACTCCTTCAATTCGTACTCATCTGTCATAGATTTCATGGATGACTTCAATTGGCAAACTTTAGCAGGAGCTCTACAACCCCTCTAAAGAGTGACACTTCTATTAGTTTGATAGGAGCAATTAATGTGGCACTATGAATGTTTTGATAACACTCTCTGATAATTGAAGTCGGCATCTTCTCCTGATCAGTAGTCAGTCCAATGAGTTTTTTCGAAGTCATCTTGGGCACTCGATAAATTAAATTTAAATGAAACTTTGAGTGATTTCAACTTCATCAAAGGGGAGGTTAATAGAGGACATATTTCATTTCAACCTTGAAGAAAACATCTCAATAAGATATATAAGTAAAGTTTTACCCAACATGGAGTTTACTATGTCGTACTTGCAATTACTCTAAGCCTGATTTCGATATTTGACCCCTCAACTAATTGCAATTACTCTCAGCCTGTATTTGACCCCTCAACTAATTATTGTTCAGCAGGCTCTTCAATAACTTCAACTGTAACTATTTCAATTATATGATGGGTAAATTTAACATCAATTATTGTAACATATGGCTAGATAAATTCAATTTCCACAACCTAGAGGGGTAGTTGAACAATATTGACCTTTGAGAAATTGACCACGTAGTTGATTTCCATTGTCTCACTTAGAACTTTTGGTGAGTAGAAGGATCAACAATAAGCTTCTCATGTATGAGTTTGCTCATAGAGGAAATGACTTTGCACATGATAAATTTTAATTTTTTAAAACTTATTAACATAAGCTTTTACTTGAAGGAAAAAAAAAATTACTGTCTTTCCCTTGTCCAACTTTAGCTGTGGCGAATCAATCACAAGCATGTCATTATCCCTTCTCACAATAGCAATATAAGAAGAGTATTGGTCAACTAGCTAGAGGCTTTAACAAAGGAGCAAGTTCTTGACTCTCGCCCATGACCATCATCTCTTTGATTTAAACTCTCTTCTCCTTCTTTTTAGAAGTTCATTCTTCCTTGCACAAGAAGTTTATTTTTTCTTATTCTTATAGAATAGGCTAGCAATGATATGCTATTTAGAAATGTTAGTCTTATCTTTTAAAATCTCTATTCTTGACATGGATGAAGTTTCACTAAACTCAAACTCAAAGGAAGAAGGAATCTAGGAAGCAAGTATTTGAATACAAAGTAAATATATCTCTTTTAAAGGCTAAGAATTATCAAGTGTTGATAATTGGACATTGTCAAAGTCAACATCATATTGATTGATTGATATCCAACATTAAAATAAGAATTTATCAAGAATGAATGGTTAATAAATGAAGAATTTCCTTTTTATTTTCTTATTATTTTAATGATAAATGTCTAAAAACAACATAAGAGAATCGAGAAACTAAGTGCACATTCAAATATCTAAAAACCTGGTTCAAGCTAAGACAATTTACTTGAAGATAAATCACGTTGATTTAGTCTAAGTTAACTCAATCTATTATGTCTCATACTTGCTACCTTATAAGAGAACTCTTCTCAAGTAGGCAATCATGATATGAGAATTCGTCCCAGTGAGCAAATAAAGCCTAAGAGTTGGCCTTAACAAATACAATCGATGGAGCCAACCTTGGTAACTACTCAAGAGAAATGACTTTTCAAGATGAACTATAGATTGACCAAATGTCTATCCGACTACCAAGTTGACGACTCCTTCAAGTCTTGAAAGACGATTTCATCTAGTTGAACCTTCCAATCAGTTGAATTTTCACTAATTTTTTGTATAGTCATATATGTATCAAATTATGTAATACTCAAACTCCAACCCAAATTTATAAACAACGGGTCGAGGGCTAAACCCAATCTCTAAGAATCAATTCACTATAACAAACCAATTTTATTGAAATATTAGAATTTATCTCTTTAGATTTCTTCTTTCTCTCTCTACTTTCTTATTCTCATTTTTCCTCCATATTCTCATATAGTTAAATGTGACTCATAGATAATTCTGAATTCAATAGTTACATTATGTACTTTAAGCATATAACTACATATAACTAAAAATAATTAACACAACTATAAACTAAAATACATAAAACATAACATTCTAGCTAGCTTTCAATTATGCGCATACTCTATTGGCTTCATCTTCATTAGTTCATCTCTTTTTTAATTAGTTTGTAAATCTTTAAAATCCTAGACAACCTTAGGTATTTTTAAAATTAATTATAGAATTATTATTAAAAAAGATTTTTTTAAAAAAAATTTATTGGAATTATTATTAAAAAATATTTCCTTAGCATTATATTTTACAGTAGATTTATCGTTAAAAACTTATTATTCATTATAAAAATTTCTAAGTAGTTCAAAAAAAAAAAAAAAAAAAAACCAATATGACTGCCAAATATAGGAATGTTAATGGTCAACAAATTGTAACGCCGCGCGGCGCTTTGGAGTTGGAGTTGACGGGAACCTGTCTTCACATTTTCTTATCGTGAAGAGCAAAGCTCTGAGTTTTGTCAATCTCCTGCGCCAATCTTCCGTTTGAGGCGAGGCGGAGGAAGAAGAAGAGAAGAAGCGAGGCATCCTATACACCAAATCTACCCTTCTCCTCTCCAATCCAATTGTGATATCATTATGCCAACACTACCGCGTTCTTTATTTTCTTCCTGAGGGTTTTCCTCAGATCGACGCATGTCTGCGGTCCCTCTTCTTTAGCTACATCAATGAAGCCGCATAATCTGACCGTACTCTTAATTCTTCTCTACCTAATGGCGTTCGTGGTCTCTGCGACGAATCGAACACCGGAGGTATCGCCTACATCCAAGGACCTGCTCGTTCATGATCAGTCACTTCCTGTTGCGGTCAGAAAGGGCTCTTATATACTCGATTCGTTCAGAGGTTTTCGTGAATGGCCGCTGGAGGTGGTGGACTCTTCGTCGGCCACCGTATCTTCTATTTGTTCTTCAATGATGTAAGTAATAGGAAATTTGTTTCTAGGTTCTGTATAGCTTCGAAGTAATTAATGAGTTCGATAATTCTTTTTCGGGCGAGCTATAATTGTTTGGTATGTATGTAAATCCCCCTTTTAATTTATTATTTTTATTTTTGGAATTGAAGCGAATAATATTCAATTAAATGGCTTCGTACCTCTACCTCCCAAAAGTAGAGCAAATTTCTCGATCACGGGGCAATCAGGTGGCCATTAATTTTTTGTATTTTCTGCATTAGATGCTTCATTTTGTGGTGTAAGACATTGATGCCTTCCAGAAGAATGTGAATAACGATGAATAATGCGCATATCTTTTGTCTTAGGTTACGAGAGTTTGCCATCATATAGATTACATAAGGAACCTCAGTTGTTGATTTATTATTAGTTTTGGTGCTGTTTACCTAGAAAGACTCCAAAGTATGCATTCATTGAAAGGCAAGCCCTTTCATCAAAGGTGCTGCTTTTAAGCATGCAGTCTTTAAGCTTGTAACAGCTTGTCCCGACGTACACTGACCTTAAAAGTTAAGCCATGTGAGGGTATTATGTTTAGTCCATATTAGATAATTGTAAAATATCTTGATGTAAAATTATTAGGGCTGATCCTTATTAGTAGGCTAAAGTTTTTGGATTAAAAATGAATTTTAATCATTGGTGTATGTGGCTCAACTTAGAATTTTGTTTTTGACCCCACGACTAGATCAATATAGTCATTACTTCACATTTTAGGTTAGCAGTGTGAAGGTTCTTGGACAGAGCAGAGATGATTAACCGGAAGAAGAGAAATAGAATAGAAGAATGTATTATGAAGTATATCTATTACAGCTGAGGTACAAAGTATATATAGAGATCTAATAAAGAACTGGAGCAAGAAAGTACAAACGGCTAGCTGACGTGGCTGGTTCCCTAACAGCCCGCCTCAAATTAATCATTCTGGAATCAAATGGTTAATTTGGACCGTAGGTTGTTGAACCGGTTAATGGGAAGAGATTTTGTAAGTATGTCAATGATTTGGTTGGTTGAGCAGATGTGAGCGATGTTGATGTCGCCCTATTGGATGTGTCCACTGATAAAGTGGTATTCGATTTCAATATGTTTTTTCCTCACATGGAAGACGGGGTTGTTGGCGAGTGCTATAGCAGACGTGTTGTCGCTGTAGATTGTTGTAGGAAGATGTTGCGGAATGCGGAGTTCGTCTGCTAGGCGGCGGATCCATAGGATATTCGAGGTGGCGGAGGATAACGATCTGTATTCTGCTTCGGTGGATGATCGTGCGGTGGTTGTTTGTTTCTTAACCAACCAGGAGATTAGGCTGGGGCCAAGGAAGGTGCAGAATCTTGATATGGATTTTCAGCCGGTAGGATCGGTTGCCCAGTCAGCGTCTGTGTAGCCGCGTTGACAAAGAGCACCGGTTGTGAGTGGGAGGCCGAAGTCGAGCATGCCTTTGAGGTACCGTAGAAGAAGCTTGAGTGCTTGGTAGCACAGTTGCGAGGATGATGCATGTGTTGGCAAATTGAGTTGGTGGCGGACGCAATGTATGGTTTGGTGATGGATAAGTATTGCAGAGATCCAGCGAGTTTGCGAAAGAGTTGGGGATCAGAATATGGGTGCTTGTCCGGTTGTTTGGGTTGCTTAGTGAGCGCTAGTGTCATTGAAGGTTTGCAATTGGAGAAACCTGCTTGATGAAGAAGATCATTTGCGTAGTGTGATTGATTTAAAAAGTAGCCAGATTTTGTTTTGATCACCTGTATGCTGAAAAAAGTGAGACATCACTGAGCTGCTTTAGGCTAAATTCGGAGTGGAGATGCTGCAAAGTGGATTGTATTTTATCCGAATTGTTTCCTGTAATAAGGATGTCATCTACATAGATGAGAATGAACATGCAAATGTCCTCTTGATTAAACAGGAGAAGGGAGGGGTCGGCTTTACTGAACTTGAAGCCGAGATTTTGAAGGAATGTTGTAAATTTTTGGAACCATTGTCGCGGAGATTTCTTGAGTCCATAAATGGATTTGTGAAGTTTGCAAACATAATGCGGGTATTGGTTATCTTCGAAACCGCGAGGTTGTTTCATGTATAATTCGTCATGCATGTCACCGTGGAGAAAAGCATGGTAAGAAGCATATGAATTGTGACCATTTTAGCCACTAGACTGAAGGTTTCGATAAAGTTGACGCCGAACTCTTGAGAGCAGCCTTGTGCGATGAGGCGAGCCTTGTAACGAGCGACTTGTCCTTTTGGGTGAAGCTTTGTCTTGAATGTCCATTCCATTTACTGCCCAGGATGGGTTTATCGAGAGGGGCGGGTACCAAAGATCAAGTTCCTTGTTTTTGTAAGGCTAGATATTAGTTGGACATGGCTGAGTGCCAGTGATCATATTTCGACACTTCGGTATAGGAAGTAGGGGTTTGATTTGTGGGCGGAACTACAGATAAGTCGAAGATTCGTTTGGTTTTGATATTCTGTATTGTAGACGAGTTTGCATGTGGTGACGCAGAGGAGATTGGTTGGCCGTGTTGATGATGTCGTTGGGAGCTGTGGAACTGGGGGAAGGAGGGGATGTGTTGGGTGGGGCAGACGGGGTGGTAGTGTGCGGTAGAGTTTGTAATGTAGTTGTTTGAGAAATAGTTGGAGGAACGAGCAAAAGGGGAGAGTAGGACATGGTTTGAGGGCTGGTGGGCTGATTTGAGGGGTTAGTTGAGTAGGGAAAAAGGTGCTCGTAGAATACCACATGCCATGAGATGTATAGATGATGTTGTTGTAAGTTAAGGCAACGATATCCTTTATGCTGAGTGGAGTATCCTAAAAATACGCATTCCTACGAGCGAGGGGACAACTTGTTTGGTGCGTAAGGTTTTGTCCACGGGAAGCATAAACAGCCAAATGTGCGAGAAGGTGGTTGTAGGACGCTTGCAGACAGTGTAGGTGAAAGTACGGTGTTTGATTGAGAATAGCGGAGGATGGTAGATGATTGATAAGGTAATTGGCTATGGAAATAGCTTCGGCCTAGAAGGAATTGGGGAGGTGAGATGCATGGAGTAAGGTACGGGTGAGGTCGAGGAGGTGTCTGTGCTTCCGTTCGGTGGTGCCATTTTGCTCTAGCGTATGCGGACAACTAATTTGATGAGTTATGCCTTGCTGAGTGAGATAGGTCCGAAACACATTGTCAGTAAACTCCCCGCCGCCGTCAAATCGGAATGTCTGGATGGTGGTGTTAAACTTATTTTTAGTGAGATTGCAAAACTGTTGAAATTTGGAAAAATACTTTGTTTTTGGATTGCATTAAGTATAGCCAGGTAAAGCGAGTGAAATCTTCTATGAATATAACGTAGTAACGGAAGTCGTTCATTGATTGTATGGGTGCCGGACCCCATACATCCGAATGGACGAGCTGAAACGGTTTATTACAAACAAAATTGCTAGTAAGAAATGGTTGTTTATGGCTTTTTGAGATGTTACAAGAGATACAAACATCAGTAGAGGAACATGTAGTAATAGCAGGAATTAATTTGGCTAAGTTTTGTAGGGTGCAGAGGTTTGGGTGACCGAGTCTAGCGTGCCAAAGAGAATTTGAGGATTTGACCGTCGCGAGAGCGGTATAGTTATGGTTGGTAAGGGCCTTGATTTGATACAGACCATTGTGTTTGGGACCGTGAAGAAGCAGCTGATTGTCCTGAAGATCCTTTATAGTAAAATTGTTAGCATTGAAAGAAATTAAAACATTATTGTCGGAGGTTAATCTAGAAACATATAGAAGATTATGCGAAAGGGAAGGAACGTGTAGGATATTGCGAAGGCGAAGCTTACGGTGAGACTCAGGTAGAGGCAAGGGCCTTGACCCGAGTTATAAATAGGGAGAGTGCTGCCGTTAGAAATGGAGACCGAGTCGAGGCCATTGTACGGTGTCGGGTGTTGAAGATTCGTCACATCGGAAGTGAGATGTGATGATGCGCCGGAATCCAAGATCCAATCGTTGGTGGCTGCGTTTTGTTGTTGTACCGTAAGGGCTCGTGGGTTGGATGGAGGTGCGTAACTTAGGTTGCAGCGGTGCCAGCAATTCAGCGCTGAATGACCCGTTTTTTCGTATATTTGGCATGTTGGTGTCTAGTTGACTGATTTCTTGCAGAGGTTTGGTGATCGGCGGAGACCTGTTGGTGTTGATATGAACCTCGTCCGCGAAACCTGTTTGGCTTGCCGTGATAGTTGGTGGTGCGGTTGGAGAGAAGAGCAACCGCCTCCGATTGCTGATTTTCTTTGAGATGCTGGTGGTGAAGGTTTATTTCTTAGCTGCAGAGTAAGGAGTATAGATCGTCGAGACTGATCGGTTGAAGGGAAGTTCTTATGGCAGTCTTGAAGGGGTTGTAAGCAGTGGACAGCCCGTTGAGAATATAAAGAATAATGTCTTCGTTGTCGACGGTGGAGCCGGCAGCCGCGATGTTCTTGACTTTTGTCTTGAATTGATCAAGATATTGTTGCATCGTACGATCTTTCATCTGAATTTGATGGAGCTTGTTCTTGAGCTGTATGACGCGAGAGCGATTTGTGGGTTGAAGACACCGTTCGAGAGTGGACCAAATGTTGTGGGCGATATTGAGGGTGAGGACATAGGGAAGAATCGATCGTGAAATTGTGGAAAGAAGTGCTGAGACAAGATTACGATCGATAAGTTTTCAGCGGTCGTGGTCGGAGACGGCAGACTCCGGTGGGCAGGTTGCGAGGCCGATGAGGTGTTCGTCGTATTCGTTTGCAAAGAAATGTTGGTGAAGATGTATCCTCCAGATCTCATAGTTTTCGGATGTGAGCAGAGTCGGGACAAGATTCTTGATATTGGATATTAGGAACTTGAGATGAGAGGGAATGACCAGTTCGGTTTCTTGGTTGGACACGTTTGACATCGTCCGATGAGAGCCGACCGAATCTTCTTCGGCCATGAGATCAAGGAGACGCACCATGTGAAGGTTCTTGGACGGAGCCAAACCAGAGAT